CATCTTCCCTCATCCCGTCCTCTCAGCCACGCCCCCCCCCGCCGCGCCTCTTCGCATCATCCCTCATTCCGTCCTCCCCGACGCGGATCTCCGCCACGACCTCCAGTTAACCCCATGCTGTCCACCGAGTTTCATCCTCCGCCTCGTGTTTCGCCTGTACGTACGGGCAGCAGATTAAGGCCCATTTACAATTCAAACATAAGCCTAACGCATAGACGTAAAGCATTAACGTTAGTGATCAACGAGCTAGAATATACTACACAGAGTGGCTAAAGCGCTTCCATCTTTGAAGCAAATTGAACCCGTGTTGCTTGCAGTGAAAGCAGCGCCCTCTAGGAAACAAAGTATTCTAGCTTTACGTTTGGCACTGGTTACGGACGGTTACACCGCCATTCGTATGTTTTTACTTAAAAAAACATGGCGGCCACTAGTTAGGCGACCCTCCGTAGAGAGCGCTTAAACTACAGCGACAGCCACTCTATTTAGTATATTCTAGCTCGTACGTTATAGACTGAAGTATTCACAATGTCTAATGTAAGCAAATTAAGAGTATCTATTGGCTTTGAGACATTCTAGTTTACTATTGGATGGATGTGAAAATCGTTTTCGAGGTATCGACTGTGTCTATGACCCATGGTATACTGTGTTAGTTCGTCTATCGACTTCGATTCTATTTCTATTCTCGATTTTGAGTTAAAGAATGAACCAATACCACAGTACTTTATGTTTTACTTCAGCATAAACACAGAAGCTTGAAGCTTGCAAGCTTTTAAGTTAACGTCTTACGTGAACTGCTCATGCGAACGCATTATGAATGGGCCCGCTTGTGGACGTGGTCCTAACTTTTATGTTTATGTTTGCATCGTGAATGGGCCTTTACACCTGCGCGGGCGAGGCGAGCTCGCTCGAGGTCGCGACGACGCGGGACGCGACCCTCTCGACGCGCCGCCCGCGCAGCTCCGCGTCGCGCCAGCTGCCCCTGGCGGAGGCCGAGCGCACATCGCGCTTCGGGAATCCCAAATCAGCCGCTGATCAAATAAATTGATTATAAGGGCTGTGAAATATTGTAGAGATGATGAGGGGTGCATTTTCAGAAACTGCGACGAGAAAATGTCTGTGCATTGCCTTGCTGTGTTCTCATCAGACGAGAGAATTCTGAAAAGACGACACATAGTTGACAAAGATTAACACTTTGCCGTAAGAATATTAAGTATTGAAGACATTGCCATGGTTACCCTTGTCTGGACGAAAATTAACATATTACTTAATCATGTTTCTGCTATTTTGCCGCGTCTCAGAACGCTGGTTCACGAAGACTTCATAATAACGCCCGCTGCCAAACATACCGAACCAACTTTCAATGCGCCCATTACGCGTATTGCTTACCTTCTGTATAGGATTGCTACGAAACTGCTCGCGCCTCCAGATTCTCAAACAATGCGATCTTGTCGCGTCTTATGTGGATCTCTGTGGCGATCTACCGGTCATTTTGGAAGCATTTGAAGGTCCATTCCAAAGAGTGTCATATAAAATGAATTTTCTGCTGTTTATGAGAGAATTCGCGTTTTTTTACCCAAAATCTCGAACGCGGGAAGTTTGAAATGTGTCATCTTTTCTTCTTAAATACCTTGAAAGAGTAGCCAAACTGAATGAGCTCCAAGCGCGGCGCCAAATTTGAATAATTTTTGGCCGCTTATGTGCTAAGAAGGGCGCTTTTTAGCCTTTTACGGCCATTCCGGCGAACACGACCCCACTATCCTCGATTGGTTCGCGTTCCCGTCAAACTTTTGCTTGTTCAGTGAGACTGATTTCCCTGGATGGAATGAAGCCCTTCCTCTCTTCGACTAAGGAGGTGGCCCTTAGGCCCACTTCTACATGGATGTACTCAAATCACCTGCATGTAGATGCCGAGGAAACTCGTAGAGTAAGGTTCATCTCAGCACTAACAGATGATTATAGAGGAGGGTAACAACTAAAATAATGAATGGATGAATAATGAATGGTTTAAAAGTGATGCATGTTGGTTGCGAGAGCCCCACCTTACCAGAACACACAAGTTTCCCGTGATTGAGGCGGCATTCGAACCCGCGACCCTTGAAGCCTAGATCGTTCCCTCGTTGCCACCCCAAAGATTTTGGCTGCCCAAAATTTCGGATAAGTTTTCGAGTTGTTAAATCATTGGCCCATGTATCACTGTTGCCATAGAGACGCCAAGGGAATCGGGAGTCTTAATTTCTTGCCCCTATTGTTTGATACGGATGATTGCCGGCCTAGTGTGATCTCAGTTGCAGTGTTCTAGCGCTCCTAGTTCGCAACCCCACCCCACACTCTGAAGTGGCGCTGATCTTGCCAAGATTAATATATCCGATCAGGATTTTTAAGGTCTGCAACAGCGACACGGCATGACGAGGGCTTCTACGCCTCAAAAATCCGCTGACCTCTACCGGGTTTGCATCCACCCATCAAAGTTCATGAAGCCGTCATACTAATCAATGAACTATCAAAACTGCAAGTAAAGTAATAAAAATCCCATAACTCGGGAGGTAATTTACAAACCATTGTTTTGAATGTAATTTATACTGCTTTTGAAATATTCCTGACGAGAACGTATCTCCTCCTACAGTTCTACATCCTCTTCCCCATCTCTGGCCTAAGATTTTAATACTAAGTGAATTTCGTTACAAATTATTTCACAACGCTAATGTCGCTTGAAACTGACGGATAGCGTGATGGGACACAATTCCGTGAGCGCCAATCTATTGCATACTTGGTGCCAAAGAAATTCAATTCTCAATTTTCAACTATCCTAACTAGTCCTGACACCAAATCCTAACTAGTTCTTTTATATGTGGGGAGTGTACGATATATGGTCACAGTCTTCACTATCTCACTTTCCAAAGGAAGACGCACTGAAACTTAAAAAAATTATCCGGCTTCGATCTGCATTGAACAAGTATCACCTCTGAAGTCGGAAAGACATTTCAGATACCCTACCCTTGTACTATACATGGTTGAAGGACGAATTTAAGTACTTAGAGAGGGTGACTATTGTAACGTATTAGCCAGCGTGCCTCATGGCATCTATTTGGGGACGCTTGGGAGAGGATTAGAATAGCCAAGGAAGTAAGAGTTTTCTCGTAAGGGAAAGAACGCGGCAACGGAGACACAAGGCTTTGGGAGTTTCCGGCTTATTAAGAGCTTTCACTGTTATAATCAAGCGAAGGGGGTGCGGGACGTTAGTAGTCCAGTTGGGCCTCGCCTATATAAACGACGGCACCAAGAGTGTAAGGATTTCTGGAGAACGGGAGAATCGTTGGTGTGCACAAAACTTGGCCAGACGGTGCATAATGGCGGCCAGGCTCGCAGAGCTGGATGTCATTAGTTACGAACCTGCGTGATTTATCTCTTGAGTGACTGCGGTACGTGGAGCGAACTGTGTGCGTGCATCGAAGTGAAGAGTGGTTGAGTGCCACCGATTCACGCGATTCTCAATCGGATAAGATCGCTCCGCTCAGATCGAGGCAAAACCAGCCGTTGGTGCGCCAGAACGGACTTTGTGTCCAGCGTGACTCCGGTCACGGAAAGCTAGGCTTTGTGCGCCGCTTTCAAAGTAGGAGTGGCGAATGCCCATCAAACCATCTTCAATCGAGTTGGATCGCTCGCATTCAGGGAGTATAGGTCTATTCAAGCATAGGTTGTAAGCTAGATTATAAATGTATATATTTTTTGTTCTTTAATAAATATATTTGTTATACGAAAGCTCTGTGTCTGTGGTCGCTGTGAGTATCCATGACGTCACACTATATGTGGGTCTCCAGAAAACGTCCTTCCTTCGCTGACGTGCGATTGTGTTTTGTTGCAGGTTCCAGGAGATGGAGAAGTCGGCGAAGGAGGAGGCGCACACGCTGGAGCAGTCTCTTCGGGGGCTGCTGGGCCGCACGCCCGCCGGCGCCGCCGCCGCCGGCAGCGTCGAGAGCCTCGAGGACCACGACGAGGACGACGACGATGACGACGAGCCCGACATCGGTGAGACGCGCGCACGACCGCACGCGCAATTCACACTCCGACGTTCCAAACCCTTCCCAAATTGAAAGAAATCGGCCAGAATGGTTCCATTTTGTAGATTACGATTTGGAAAACACAACTATATTTCGATTTATTTCTAATGGCACTTGACGTTTAATCAGCTCTTACGGTGTCATCCAATCGGGAACTTAAACGTCACCATAGTGACGTCACTGTAGAGACGTTCAAGCTCCCGGTTGGATGATACCGTAACAGCTGATTTACGTCAAGTGCCACTATAAATAAATCGAAGTATAGTGTTCTTCGGGGACGGAACCAGGTTTAAAAGCCCTAAGACTTATAGTTCCCAAATTATGCAAAGAGGCAGAGCATGTTGAAGCGTAATGTGGGTTGTACTCGTACGTGCCCCTCATTACCATCTCTTTACGTTGGAGACTCACGAGCGCACTTTCACGGACGTTAAAATGCGTTGTAACGCCCGTTAGGCAACGTTCGTGTGCCCGCAACTTAAGGCTTCGAAATATTTTTGAGAAATCGAGGGAGAGCACTAAGTATATAATTCAGAGGCGTCCGCGTGTTGAAGCAATGGTAACCTCTGCAGTGATAAACGTTTCGAATTGCTGGAATGCAATAATGATGTCAGCACGTGCAGGTGTTAGAATATAGTTATCATCACAAAGTACATAAAAACAACCTTAAATATCACCTATTTGTTGTTTATTTCCATTCGTCTCTATGTCCTCGTGGAGACCATTTCGCTACCAACCTTTGCAGTCAATGCACTAGCGCATGCAAGAACTACACAATGTCGCGGGCTCAGTTTCAACGTCGCTCTTAGTTGTATTCGCAGTGACGGAGGACAATCTTTGACACCAGGCGAAACGTCTTCGCAGTCACATTCAACGACGAACTTTGGTTCGTATTTCAACACAGCCTTGTAGGAGACGCTGCCGGTTTTCAAGACATCGGTGGCCTCTCCACGGTGTTTCGCGCTATGTCGCCTCACGGCTTGGTCAGTGCTGCACCCTACGAGTGGGATTTTGAAGGGCCATTCATTTAATTTAAATCTATTTGCTCACGAAAGCACGAAAACCTAGCAAAGAAAGTGAAACCATAAAGAAAGCACACGACTAGAAAACGAAAAGACAAAGGGGCACTTGATAAAGGTGAGCTTTAGATTGTTCCCTAACCCGTCTTACCGGTCCGAACTGTTAATTTTTGGAAAATAATTCCATTGAAGGGCTTGGGGCAGGAACCAAAAAGCCAGAGAAACCTCTCGCTATTCGTAAATGTTCATATCTCAATTTAGATCGAAGTATTTTTCAATTTCATTGATGTGAACACGACATACAAGTATACTACAGTAACAAGTCAATTCACATTCACCAAAATCACCACACAATACAAACTCACCTTATATAAATGGATGTTAGTATATATAAAAGCTGTGAACTCAGACACTGTGTCCGATGTCAATGAAAGTTGGCACATCTACGTGTTTTTTTCACCAAGAAGGTTTATGTGTTGTTAATTTTGTTGTTACTCTACTACATGGTGCTGCAGAACAAAATTGCTCTTCATTTTAGTTTAATTTCGATTTAAACTGCGCTCGACCTGCGGACTTCATTGTTGCTGACCGTTGCGGCGTGATGCAGAGCAAAGCCCAGGAGAACCGGATGCGTGAGAGAGACAGAAAGAGAGACAGATAGAATGAGGCAGAGAGAGAGAGAGAGAGAGAGAGACGGCGAGAGATGAAGAGAGGTCGAGGTATACAGAGATAGACGGCGCGCGTAAATGACAGAGTGAGAGAGACCGAAATAGACAGCGGTACAGACAGAAAGAGAGAGAGACAGAGAGAGAGTCACAGAGAGAGAGATGAGACAAAGTCAAAGGGAGAGACAAACAGAGAGGCAGACAGAAAGAAATAGAGACTGAGACAGATAGAGAGATGGAGAGAAAGAGACAGAGAAATAGAGAGATATAGACAGAGAGGTAGAGAGAGTCACGAGAGAGAGAGACACAGACACAAACAAAAAGGTGTATGTATATATATATATATATATATATATATATATATATATATATATATATATATATATAAGAGAGAGACAGTCAGACAGACAGACAGGCTGGCAGAGGCAAACATAGACAGTCAGACGCAAAGAGAAACAGTCAGAGAGAGACACAGAGAGCCGGACAGAGACAGAGAGGGACGGAGACAAACACTGATACACAGAGATAGACAGTCAGACTGAGACAGGGAGAGAGAGAGAAAGAAAAAGAGAGGCGGAAATCAACGACGCGCGTAAGAGATGGAGGACAGCGACGCGCGTAAGAGAGAGATACCGAGACACTGAGTGAGACAGAGACCCACAAGGAGATAGAGAGGGATAAAGAGTCATAAAGAGATAGAGACAGAGATACAAACAGAGAGAGAGACAGAAACAGATAGACAGACAGAGACTCAGAGAGAAACAGAGAGGCAGACACACACACACATAGATATAGAGAGACAAACAGTGAGAGACGAAGAGACAGAGAGAGAGAGAGAGAGAGAGGGAGAGGGAGGGAGGAGGCGGGGACTTTCTTTTTCATAAAAACTGGAATATGAAAAAAACTGCACCGACGGTTATTTCGTAGTCTTTACTAATAGCGGCTCGTGTGGCTTATCTTGTTACTCTCTCAAGTCTTTCAATTCTATTAGGTCGTTAGCAAACGACATATCCCTAGTAGTTTTGAGGCCCTGAGGAGCTATGGTGGGCCCTTCCAGCGAAAGTGCAGTTTGTGGTAGTATTTCTGAAGTATACGACACATTTCTACACACGGTAAGATGAACATCTGAATTGCTCACGCCACTTTCTATTTTCCAAATCAAACATCAAGAAAGAATTCTTTAACTGTTAGTAGCACATCAGCCAAAAAACTTCACATTTACGCAAGTTGGTGGCAACACGAAACGAACATTCCGTAATTTTACGGACATGCTGAAATGTTACAGAAATCCGTGTTTCTATGAGGACATACAGGCTATCAAAAGGTCGCGTAATGCGTCAAAAATACTTCTGACTTTTTGCGAAATTATTACTAATTTAAAATGTTAATTATATTAACAATAGGCTTATGTGCGTGGCGAGGTCGGGCTGCTTAATAGATCGTGATAAATATACACCATGGCAATTATCAATATCCCACATAATACGCTAGTTAATCTATACATTTCTGTGGATGATATAAGATGCACTTTATTTACTTTGTAAATTTCATAACTTTTAAAATATCGCAATACATGGTCAGATTGGATAAGACCATTAACAATTTATTGATGGTTAATTAACTCTGCTAATTCTGTATGAGTTTATGAATGTGAATGATGTTATAACGATCTTCTTCAAACATTGCCATTTGGTTTGTCTAGCAAATATTATGAAGGATTCATTGAAGCACAAGCACACTACAATATACTACACGAAGCTTAGTAATGCCATCGCAAGAGTGCGCTAATCATACACGAGTGCTCCCTCATATAAAGTAGTTATTATAAAATAGTTATTTACAAAATAAATATCGTATGATATCTTATTGCAATAGGAGATTGGAGAATTATTAAATGTCGCCGTTAGGCCGAATTTACTTACGAATGATCCAAAAAAGATTGCAAACATTCCAGTGTACTATAATTTTCGTTTGTATTTGACAATTCATTTTCGTAGATGTGATGATAACTTATGAAGTTGATTATACTTAAAAGTAAGCCATGGATTATTAGAATACTTGTGTTCTAATAATCCTTAATTACGAAATCGCTCTCACATTCGTCGAGTTTGACTTGATGCAATCAAAATGGAAAAAAAGTCATTTAAAGCTGCTGGGATCTTGTTCCTTCAATGATCTCTCGAACTTTTCTTGTGTTTCGTTATAATGACTTGTTGCTTTGCAGACGAGGCGACCGGCCTGGAGAGCGGCTTCGGCGACAGCTTCTTCGGCATGTTCGGCCCCGCGCGCCAGCCCTGGTGGAAAGGGTGAGTGAACGAGGGACAGGCTCCTTCTGCTGACGATGTTTCTATAAAAACACGATGTTTTTTAGACATATGTTTTGTGCTCGATGTCTTTATGTTTTCGAGGTTTGTTCGTGAATGAAAAATGCACGTAATCACAATTTTGTAAAAGTTAAAATATATAACAGCTAATGGTACCACTGTAAATGTGTGTGTTCGAACCAAACGAGCGTGGTTTGTATCACTCGTACCTTCATCAAGCAGACTATCCTCCGCCTGAGGAGATCCCGATGCCCTCTTATTTCCTTTGCCTTTCCTCGTATTTCGTACTTGGGGAGGCGTTATTAATTTTGTTCATTTAAATTTTAATTATAAAGTCATACTCATGGCTACTGTCATATAGAATTTTGTTGCGCACGAATTTATGTTAGAAGTTAATGTTTTAATGTTAAACATCGATGTTTCGTTGTCGATGTCGAATCGCTAAAAGTTAGCGGGCGATCAAACGGACTAACGAACATTATCAGCACAAAGACGATGTGCTCTATCTGAACTGTTCGATAACCAATCCTAGATTTATCACCGAGTTACGGGGATTTTTTAAAATTGAACATTTAAGAGGTAATTTCAAAAATGTATAATTTTTTACTACCGTGATATGGGTGTACCAAGTTACGTTGTTGCGGATTTTGAGTCTTTTTTCAACACTGGCCAGTGAGTTTTTATTTTAAGGTCAAAAGACTTGTTGCAAAATGTAGGATAGCTTATTTTCTAAATAGTGATGTATTGTAAGCATCCGAATCTGCTATAGTTACAGGGAAATTTAGGTTAAACATTGTCACAAAGTTATTCAAGAGCTAGTGTTTGTTTCGCAATGTGAGAAGTTTTATTTCGCTCTGAAATGATAGTGAAAAATAAGTTTCACAAACTTAACATACATAACGTTTATTCCAAGCGGGATAAAATATTGTTTTGCGATATAGAAAGCCTCTTTCAGGACAAAATTCTTAAAATCTTTAAGTTGTACTTGAGCAAAATTTCAATTTTGCATTTTGGCAGGGGAACGCCCGTATGGACAACTCTGTTTCAATTATTCGGGCGGCTTAATGTAGATCTTTGATCTTGAACAGCCCTCGGTTCGCCTCTGGTCAATGACATAAATTGTACAAGACTTCGGTCAGAACATAACATTTCATCTGTGGAGCCTAGCTATCTTCTATGCATTTTCGTTGGCTCCATTACGCTCATGATGAATCCTTCAGGTTTCATTAGACCTTCAGTCCCTTTTCCGAGGGAAAGCGTGCCCTCGAAGTTGACCACCCAATTCGTCGCATCTGCACAAATCGCCCACTTCGAAAGCATCTGCACCCTGATTAACGGAGTTGTGGCTGGTAGGTGGAAGGCTCAATGGGGATGGATCAGCATGTGCCTCGGACCCGTGCGAATACTCGTCGAAAGACAAGTTCATGCTATCGTCGGAATTGTAAAGGGAAAATTCGTCACTGCTGTCTTGTCTCCTTCTGACGTATCCGTCTGACTTGCAAGCCTTGCTGAGGGATTGGGTCTTTCTTATGTTTTGTTCACATACCCTCACGTAAACGTTGTTACACAAAGCTTAAAGTTTCTTCTTAATGCCAACACATTAACAACTGAAAATAAGTACCTGTAATAGATATTTGTAATAGTTATTTCGCTCCAGTAGAGGAATTCGACAGATTCACTAAGTGCCACAATGTAACATAACTTTATTGTGTATCTATTTAAATGTAATGATAATGGTAAGCAGTCTAGCATTTTCATCAGTCATGCGTTTTCCTTTTAGGATAAAACCTATTTAGTCATTTTCCCTCTTCGTCAGGATTTTATCGAAAGTTTTTAATAGTGTAGAGAACAACTGTCTGGGTCCCTCCTATTGTTCAATAATAATACTCAATTATATACGAAATAACTAGTTGCTGTGTCGCTTAATAAATGTAGTAGGAACTGTTTAATAAACATTGTGAGCTTTCAAAAACATAGCAGATTAATACAACATATTCAATCAGAACTATTGATTTAATCAAGTAATTCAAGTTACTTTTATTGTTTTCATCAGGGCGATAGAGAAAAATTAATTCAGGAGTATACTTCGTAAATTACGACTCGTGCATTGATGTCACTATTTGTAGATTAAATTAAAATGTACATTTGTTTGCAGGTATTTCTCTGTCTCACGCGATTAGGCATTCACAGAGTATTACTGATAAGGGTATAACATATGAAATGATGATGGGAATGAGTGGTGAGAGTGACGGGATGATGGCTACAATTACTTCAGACTTTATTACTACAGCCATGATCCGCCATGGTCCATCGCATCAACCAGAAAGAATGTTTTGATACTCCATCGGCAATTAGGACTTCAGACTCATGCTCTAAACGTCATCAACATACATTAGAATAGAAAGAAATACTATATTTATTTCACGCCCTTGGTTCTGAATAGCCAAGTTCCAATCGCAAGACTGTTTGGATTGAGATCGTCGGACATAAGTTTTCATTTACTTCTGTTGCTGCCTGCATTGCTGACGTCCATTTGAAACACGGCATATAAGTTTTCTCTTTTTCATTCGAAAATTGCTTCTGGATCGAGTTCCTACAAACGTAAATGACTACAAAGCAGACCCTCACGAATTGTGTTGAGATTCCTACCTAGTTAGCGAATCTTCCGACGCTGAAGTACTGTATATACGTGTTCTGAATACTGTGAACACAAGAATTCATCCATTTTAATACGTTTTTGTGCTTGGAATAAACAAGCAATCATCGAATGGATTCGCAAACAGTTCTTTCTCACTGCGGAAGCTTCTCAAGGAAAACAACGGAAAGTAGTACGTAGATTTATTTTACGAGCTTGGAACCATAGTTGTACATGGATCTCAATTCAAACCAGTTGTATGAATGGATTTTTTCGTTTAGGTTCCCGTTTACCACCGCGAGTATATAGATCTAAAACTTCCGCATGTTTCATAACAAATGTAGAAATTAAAATTGTCTCGTGAAGACTTCGAAAATAAGTTTCATAATTTACATAATTTTTTTTTGAACCTAAGTAAGCTATCTCTGCCAAATGACAATCGTTTTCAATGCATAAGTTGTTTGAAAACGGCACACAACCCTTAATTCATAAACTACGTGAAATTAAACAATATATTAGATTACAGCGAACATCGAAATATATTTTTGCATTTTCATGTTAAACTCGATACGATCTTTTTATTTGCGCCACCCTATAGAACACTCGAAATCGACTTTTGTGAAAATGTCATTCATCTTCACAGATTCCCTTAGACTCTCGAAAGGCAGTAGGCAACGTTGGAAAAGGGAATAATCCGTAGAAGCATCTGTTAAGAGCAGCAAAAGGATCAACTGTAATCATTATTTCATTATAAACACCTTGTTAACTCTACTAAAGAGATACATTCAATAACAATGTTGTAATAGAAACTAATGAAATTTTATCATTTATTAAAATGATCTAATATGATAAAGGAATTATAACTATATCATTTATTACAATGATATAGTTATAATCCCTCTACATTATTTCACGAAGGATTACGATTTTCATCTGAATTTAGGAAATGACAATAGCATAAATGAGCATTCAATGGAATGACAAAAGGGTGTGGAACGAATTCATTATTTTAACATTTTATTCTCTTTTTATTTAAAATAAGTAATTTTATATATTTTGAAAAATTAAGGAACTGCAAATCTCTGGTTCCCACTGGCCAATTTCAATTGATATTGAACTTCCTGCATTTTTATTAATGTCGAAATGAAGGTTTGCGATAAATTCAAACAATACGCCCTTCTTCTTTTGGCACTTCCATTCAATACTAGGCCTAACAACATTGAGGCCTCTGAAGTTCGTCCGCATTATTTCTAGATCATGAGGGAGGAGGTCGTACAGGAAAAAAACGATTAACCCACTGTCTGGACCCAACGCTTGGAAAGGGAATGGGGAAGAACGAATGTCACGGCCCGTGGCCTCTTTGTTTAAGATAGTGCTCCAGCATCCACGGAATTTCTCGGAGGATACCACAGAATCAGACCGATCAGAGCAGTCGGTCTCAAGAAATTTCACTCAAGGAGAGGCGTCCTTCGACATTGCTTCTTAGCTGGAATAGAAAATGCGGCGGTAGTGTATCAGAGGCAAACAGGTGACCTATAACGTTGGAAGTTTAGAGTTTTGCTAAGTAAGTATTTCTTTCTAAGACTGCGTCAATGCAAGTTGTCCCGGATTGTGACATGCAAAATTCCATTAACGCCACATCGAGATGATACGCATGTTTCCAACTCGAGGTGCCCACTATAACATAGTGCTCTTTGGGAATTCAGAGCTATCAGAGCACACGGTAGTTGGGGAACAATTCCAGTCATCGCGATCCCATGGCGCGCATCGTACACTATACAAGTCACGTGATGTAACCCGATATTCCCGGCGGAGTCTCGTTTTCCGAAATAAATCTACCTTAGCGTAAGAGTTTGTGTATGAGCAGAAGTTCAAAACCAGGTTCGTTTTGTGTACGGCAGAGTGATTCACGCTGTGCAAAAACTCTCAAAACAAGTCCTCCAAGATGGCGGCCCTGCGCTTGGCCCTCCTATTGTTTTCAAATAATTAATACCTCAAATTATATAACCCAAATAACTAAGTTGCTAAGTCACCTGTCTGTGCTTTAATAAATGTAGTAGAAACTGTTTATAAACATATTGTGAGCTTTCAAAAACATTAGCAAGAATTAATTACAACATATTCAATCAGACTATTGATTTAATCAAGTAATTCAACGTTAACTTTTATATGTTTTCATTCAGGGCAAGAGAAGGAAAAATTAACTTTCGATCCAGGAATGAGTATACTTCGAAATTACCAGACTCGTGCCATCTGATGTACTTGTACCCCCCAAAAAAACTTTATATTTTGTTTTTTTAGACTTAAATTTAAA